TATTTCTTTTGTGGTAGCACCCACTGATTGCAACACGCACAGAGAGGTTAATACTGAAACATTATGGAAGTGGCAGTGGCTTCAGGCTGATTACACCATTCTTGAAGAAAAATCACCATTTTCTGCCCTTCGTATCCTCCTTTACTTTCCAAAGCATCAGTTCCATACAAGCAACAGCATCTTCACTAGAATCATGACCACCAACTAGGAAAGAACAAAATATATTCATATATTTAGGGTAATAAGCTGCTACATTAAGTATCACAGAAATAGATACAGTAGAGCATGTGTTCCCAAACTGGGGGGGGGGGGTCCCCGGGGGCATGAAGAAATTCCAGGGGGGTGGGAGACAACCAGCCCCTCCGAAGTTGTGCTGATATTTTTGGTTTTTAGCACCACTTAGTTCTTTTTTTTTGCTCAACAAGTTGCTATTGGGGGGGAGGGGCGTGAGGGTTTCTCAAAAATCAAAAAGGGGGTGTGATGCAGAAAAGTTTGGGAACCACTGCAGTAGAGGAAAAGAACAGAGCCAACATTCAGAAAAAATAAATTTTTAATAGTGACTGAGGAGCACTAGCCTTCACTACAAGCTAATAAACTATAGGATGGAAAACTAGCAACATATCAAAATATGTACATGAACCTGGGACATTTATGAGCACACTGTGTAAACAGATATTGCATTTAAACTAGTTTAGTAGCAAAAGGAATTAGACACTGAATGAGACAATGGAACAACGAGAAAGATCCGAAGACAAAAAGCTCTCTAGAAAGATGATGCTGCAAAATTACGTGACAGCGTGAGTGTTATTGGCATGACCTCAGACTTATTTGCCTATCATTTGTGAGACAGCATCCTCAGTACATAGATAAATGAAATTCCCACTGAAAGATCTTAAGGATACAGCCTTGAAAAAAATTGCTGCTACATAGTAATCTTGCATATGCAGTTTGTTATGGCTCCTGTGTCATTTACACATCTATCAGACAGCAGGACCAAACCTGGAGCTGTTGCAGGAAACCAGTGACAAAGTTGAAATTTATTGTATCGATATTTCACTAAAATGGAAGAACTACTTCATAGGGAGTCAAGGTAGTGCTCCCTGATCTTAAGTGATTTTAGTAGAATAGAACAAAATTTGGAATGTACTCTTATGTGGGGAAAAATAATTAAGTCTGGCATTCACCAAATACATATGCCTCTATTGTATCCTGTCTCAGCTACACATTGCACAGCTGAGTATTTTTGCAAGTCTACTTTAAAAATGAAAAATTCCAGTGGAAAGGTAGGATAGAATGTACTCTTTTACAGTAAAACTAGACATATCTGCCTCGCTCAGAATGAAAAGTTCAACACCGGGCCTTAGCAGTAATAAAACATCTTGCTGGGAAAGTGAACTCTGACAACAGCTAGGGCCAAAATTAACAATAAAAGTTCTATACAAATTAATGAATTCTCCCCTCCAAATCCATAGCTCCTATTGATTTAAGGTGTTCATGCCTGTTTTAGGACAGTTTTGTCATTAACATTTTTTTAAAAAAGTGAGTCTTTTCCAGTGGCTGGCAATAAGCTTTTCAGAAAGGTTAGGAGGCTGTAAAATTGATTCCTTTTCCAGTCTTCCTTGAAGCAATTAAACCAGCTGAACACATATCCTATTTGTCCTTCAGAACCTGCAGGCAGCCATTCTTTTTCCTCATCTTTGACATTTCCATCTGGTAGTACGGAGTGGTATAGTTGATGGGGGATGTTGTCCAAAGCAGACAGAACTGTTGGGTGTATTGTTCAAAGTCATAGTGTCATGCAACAGGAAAGAGCACGAGCCACCTGCATGGGTGCTGCTGAGGCAAAAAGTCTGACAGTTGTGCTAGAAACAAGCTTTAAACAACTTTTTTTCAACTAGAATATGGTGCCATCATATGTGTAGAGAAAATACAGATCTAGGGAAAGTGATACAAGTACAAATGAAAGGAGTGAATATAAATTTAAGAACATGAGCTAGTTTGTTTTTGTATAACACCTGCTCAACTCACTGAAATGGCAGAGTTTCCCAGGTGCCTCTGGGCCCTTTAAAATTGCCCATGGGCAGCAGGGGAGAGACAGGCCTGAACTTTAGTGGAGCCAGGCCAGGAATATTCCAGAAGCTGGACTATGAGCCTATGTGACTCACCACTCCTGATAGAGATCAGGAGTAGAACTACTATACTCAATAAAACTATTATATGGAAAATAAATATTGCTGACTAAGAAAGTAGTTCAGGATAGGACTGAACATTTCAACACTAGCATGCCTTTGGATACTGTAAAACAAGTGGTGTCTAGAGCTAGACACCTCATATTAAGACATTACCTGCCTTGAAGTGCTTACAATTGAACACTGGGCATGACAGAGTAGGCATAAAATCAAGAAGATCATGTCATTACTCTAGTTCAGTGCTTCCTAAATGGTGTTCACAGAACCCTGGGGTTTCGAAGAGAAAATAAGGGTTCAGTGAAAAAATTCCATTACAGTAACATTGTACGATTAATTGTACAAAAATAATTAATATGTAAGCATGTGTGTTTGCCACGATAAGTGTCCCTGTGTAATGCCAGCTTAGCCATAGTGGGGATGATGTCACTATTCAGTGCTGATGTCCATATATTAGACTTATTAGGGGTTCCACAAAATTCTTTTGAGTTTAAAAGGTTCCGTGGCCAAATAAAATTGGGAGAGGCTGCTCTAAGTTAATTATGTACAGAGATTCTATTTAATTACCTAATATTAAAATGTTTTTTAATAGCTAGAGATTCATATTTTGTAAGCACCACTGAAATTTTAAGTCAAGAAAACTACAGGCAATCCCCAACTTACGCGGATCCGATTTACGTCGGATCCGCAGTTACGAACGGGGCTCACCCCGGAGGACACGGACTGCGGGACCTCGCAGTCCTGCCGCCCGTGTACTCTGGGGCTTTCTTCGCATCTCCCTGGTCTGCAGACCAGGAAGACACGAAGCAAAGCCTCGGGGGAAGCCGGCAGCGGGACAGCCCACACGCGCCGCGGCTGTCCCGCTGCTGGCATCCTCCGAGGCTTTGCTCCCCATCTCCCTGGTCTGCTGGGGTAGCCCTCCCCAGCGAGATGCAGAGCAAAGCCACGGTTCCTCCCGTGCTCCCCCAGCAGACCAGGGAGACACGGAGCTGCTTTTCTTGCCCCGGAGGACGCGGGCGGCAGGACCGCGGCGCATCTGGGCATCCTGCCGCTCCCATCCTCTGGGGTGAGAAAAACCCCGTTCGTCACT